GAAGTGAGATCTTACAAAAAGCTAGCCTATGATCGACAGATGCCAAATCTTAGGTTTTGATGTGATTATATATTTCTTTCATGCACGGTGGTTTAGTTCTAGGACTGGAGTTTCAGAAAGACAGCAATCAATGGGTCTGTGGAAGAGTACACAAAATTTATTACTCCTGGCAGTTGTCAAGGCAGAATTATTCAAAAAATAATCTGAAATGCATTTGATCATACACCAGAAGTTTTAATAATTTATATTATACCTTATTAGCAAAGTCTTGTGTTTACTTTGTGACTGCCAAAACAAGATGAAAGGCTGCCTCCATGGAAATACAAGATGCTTAGCTCAAAGTGTCTGTCTTCACATTTCAGTTTCATAATTTCCCTTCTTCCCCTTATTTTGATTAATAGTCTATGGTGTGAAATCTTAGAGTACCTTTTCCTTCCTTTTTAGTGGTCCTTTTTAGTGAGAGCAATGCTCCTTAATAAGTCTACCAAAGAGTTTATGTCCTATCAAGACTGAAACTAGTATAAACATATATTTTTGGAATTTCTTTACCTTAGGGTTTCCTCCAAGTATTTTTTGGTTAAAAGAGGCTTTGAATTTAGTCCTAAATTCCACTGAACTGACTCATTATGGTAATCTTCCTGAGTCTTGCAGCTACAAAAGTATGATTTCTGAGCTCAGCTTAAGAAACTGTTGCACTCTTAGTAAGGATTGTGTATGGTAAATATCGCAGCCATATCAGTTCAGAATATAACAAAAATGACATAAAGATTTCCTTGAAAAGCTAGTGTACTGTAAATATTTTATCTAGAGGTACAAATAAGGGCTGTTCAGAGTTAATACTTCTATGAAGTGAGAGCACGGGGAGTGGACCAGTGTAAATACTAGTTCAAAAAATGAGTTCTTTGCCTCAACCCAGGTTTTTTACACCAAAGGTTCATGAAAGAGCTCTAATAAACTTTGTTCTCTGTAGAAAACTACCCTCCTCACAAAACATGAAAGATCTTTTCTGCAGGTGATTTGGATAGCTCTTCGAGGCACAGTATATGGAAAGCTTTAGGGGAAAAAACAGGTATGGGAGGATCTCAGAATAAAGCTCTACAGTATTGCAAACTCTGAAGCTGATATGATAGCCCCCATAATCTCTTGTAATTTGCCTTGTCTACCCTAGAAGGCTTAATTTTAGTTTTAGTTTCTGTAGCCTCATCCTTTCCCCTCCTTCTCTGTGAGTGCAATATACACTACTGTATACTTCACCTGAAAACTAATTCCTCAGACAGAGCCTGCAGAAGCCCTTTTGCCCAAATGAGATTATATATGTAGTATTTTTCACTAATACATCTGTTTTATATGATACTTGTGTGTTAGGAAGAACTGCTTATATTTTTGGCAGGCCCTTCACTGTTGTCCAGAGTGCAGTGAGGGCCACTCAGCCCTTAGTTCAGGAGTACGAGAGTGCATTAACATGGTCAGCTTAGCAGACTCCTCTTCCCGCTGAGAGTTTTGTGCCATGTCCTGCAGAGCTGCACAGCAGACTATTAGGAAGAGGCATCCACCTGCAGGTGTCTCTGAGTGATTATCCTGGGTTTAAATGCTCTTGTATGAATCTCAGGAGGGGGACAAAAGACTGCCATTTGCTAAAGGAGCCTTTCGTTTGCAGGGAACCAGATGTACCCTTTTTTTACAAATACATGTTCTGTGACAATAATGAGGGAAATTTTCAAGGGAGCCAGTGGTATTACCCATGTGTCAATGTTGCAAGGCAGAAGTTTGGGCCAATCTAGCAAATAGTTCTTAGAAAATACAGATCAGATTAACATATTCTTTACTTTTCTTCTAAGAAAGTATTTGGCAGGATCATCTGAAGACATATGCATTATCAAACAGAAATGCAGTAGTGTTTTAAGTGGTAAGCTGTGAAGTGCATCTTTAAGAAAAGGGTCATTTCAGTTTGCAAACTGTTGAGGTTTTGTCCATATAAGAACTGTTTAATCCATGAGAAAATTTGTGAAGAAATCATATTAGCAAGATAATAGGAGTAGTATTTCATGTATGCATCCATTGAAAAAAAGCTTCTGGTTTAAATTGTTTGATAATCTCTTATATGAGCTAAGATACTGTAAAAAACTAAAGTTTTGAGCAATTTAGAAAATGTGACTACCAATAGAAACAACTGCATCAGAGTTCAAAATGTAAGATAGGAAGAAAACAAAAGAAGAGTGAAATTGTGATAATTGTACCTCTAACCAAGTTAGGTTTTGATATTAATTAAATACCGTGAGATAAAATCTCATCTACGGAAAGAAAATAAAAAATGGGGTTTAGTGTATCAGTATGATCATCTCATTTATGGGAAATATGATAAAGTAAGTTAAAAGTGGGTCTCACAGGTTTACCAACTGACTTAGATGAAATGCTACTGGGACATAGGGCCAGTGGTGTTCACCACTGCTGGAACTTTTTAAACCTTGCTAAAATCTGTTTTGCCATTCTGTCCTATAAGCAGCGTGAAGCACTACCTAATGCATATGCATTGCATGTTGCGATAGAGACATAAGAAAACAATATGGTAACAAAAAAAGGCTGTGTAGGCTATGCATGATCAAAATTATACCAGCAAGATGAGACTGTTTGTTTTTACGTTGGAAAACAGAAAAGCTGTAAAACATAAATGACATGCCAGTTAAATCAGTACTGAAAACTACGGCACAGAAACATGAATGGGTGCGTGAGACACTGATGTGTTTAACTGTTAGTGAAGGGGAAAAGAAAAAAAACTCTCAAAACATTTTACAACTTGTAACTCGTGTTTGGGGCGTTTTGCTGGCTATCCCTAGTCTCACAGATACAGGTAGGTAGGAACTGAAGCTGAGCATTGAGGAGAAAATTACATCATTTATGAGGTACTGGCCCTTTTTATCTGTTTGCTAAGGGATAGCATCTAGACCTATGCAACTAAATATTCAGGACTTTTATCATGCGGTGTAGAAATATTTAATTAGGAGTTGGTAGTTTGATTGTAGTCAGGCAAATTTTAAGTCATGAATCAGTGAAAAATAAATATCAGAAGAAATCAGGCTTTAGTTACAGTGATATTTTTACAGCCTTATTCATTCTTTTAAATCACTTTAGCCTTAGTGTTAATGTAACAACAATACAGGTAAAAGCTGGTCATTACCATAAATTATGCTCTGTAGATTGGTAGAGATTTGTGAGACTTGCAAAGAGAAGAAAGGCTTTATAAATGTCTAGAAAGAATAAATTGCAAAGGAATTGATTTATAAAGAATCCTGTACATTTTCCAGTTTATTCTGCAGGCAGAGGTTAATCAACTTTGATTTGGGAGGATAAAATAGCTGTGGCCAGGTACTAAAATTTCAGATGCCTTAGAAATTGATTGTAATTAATAACAGGATGAAGCAGTTTCCTAGTTTTTGATGAAGGTAACATGTTTGTCACAGTATAGACTGAAGTCCTGGAGTACTGTTCTTATCGTGCCTCACACTGCAAAGAACTACTACACCCCAATTTGCTTACCTATTGCCTTTCCTCTCTTTACCCAATTGATGATGTTCTAGGTGCAGTATGTATGACAAGTCATCCTCATTTCATAGTTCACTTGATTAGTAACCCTTTGCCTGTGTGAATTAAAATCTAATTCATCAATAACTCAGATATTAGAGTAGGACTTACTCCGGGCTGTCATTTGTCCCTTTGATGCTTACTTACCTAACCAGTAGTAATCATTATTCTCCTTTTACTATTATTACAATGGAACTGATTGCAGAAATGCAAAAACAGGAGGCAGTAACAGACAGTTTGAATTGTGCCGTCACACTTTTGTGGGCAGGCACCTTTCTTGGAACTTTGATATTTCTTTGAGTTTGCCCAGAAATATGTTTGGTAAAAGAGGGAGCGGGCATCTGGTCTGTATTTTCATGTGGCTCTGTTTCAGCTTCTTGGAAATACAATATTATCCAGATAGGTACCTTCTGGGTTCCTGACTTGTTTTATATGAAATGTGAAGGGGGGGGATAAAAAAAATCTTTTTTAACTGGAAAATTTCAAGCCAATTAGAAATCCAGCTGAACTCAGTTGACTTCCTGAGAGATTATTGAAATAAAGGTAAGGAAACAGCAATTATCAACAGAAATACTGAATCTTATGATGCAACATCATTACACCTTTGTTTAATTACACCTTTCCTACTTACACCTCTTGCAAATGTCATCAGACTACAGTTGCAATGGATGCTTTTATTTTTTAGTATCTACAAGGCTAGCATGCTGAACTGAACAAGGTTGTAAGAGGGAAGAGCTTTTTATTGTTTTTCACTTGGATTTTCTGCTGAAATACTGACTCACTATCTGTAACGTGCTGCAGTTAAAAGACCTCATATTCTTGGGGATCTTGGTGCTTGCAGTCAGGTTGGGAATGGTAATGGCAGGCACAGCAGGGAACTCAGATGCAATATGCTGAATGAGAAGGTGAGTGTTTTAGCACTCCTGAGGGTCAGAGGAAAGGAAAAGCCCTGTGGGAGGATTTTCAAGCACCACTGAGCTGGCACACCAGGAGACGATGATTGACTTTAGAAGAGCCCTGCTGTGCAAAGGATTGTAGTGTTGTGGTCCCCTTTATCACTGGTTAGACATTTCCTTTGGAGAAGCCAAAAATGGGAAAGTAGTGAGATAACGCAAACCAAATAAAAAAATAATTGTCAAACAACTCTCTTTGATGACATTGGGGTCTGGAGATTTGTTTCTGTTGCTAACACCTTAATTTATTTGATGATTAATTTCATTAGAAATATTGATTTTGTATGGCATTGATAAGATTTCTGTATGAAAAACTGATGACCTGATGACGCAATGCAGGTTGAACTGTTGTTTGTCTTGAAAAGGTATATTAATTTGAACCTCAGTATAAAGAGGATGTTGTATTTGGTATGTACAATCAGAAATACATAACACTGTTTCAATCTTAATATGTGCATTTCTTCACAGGAGTTCAGATGTGGAGCACAGAATGGCACAAACTGCAAAACGCACCCTTCTGCTGAGATCCCAGTGAAAACACCGCTCAGCTCGTGGATGGCTTTGCAGCTCCCATGGCAACAAGGAGGTGGACTGAAGATACTGTCTGCCAGCCTGGCTTTACTGGCGGTTCTTGTTATGTTTTACTACGGTGGAATGAAAACAGGACTGTGAACTGAATGAGGCTTTTATGAAAACAATAAAACTGCTGTTTAAAATCTTCAAAGGAAACACTTTTACCAAGAAATCTTTTTTTTTTTTTTTTAAATAATATAAATTGGGCAGTAATTCATACTCACTCTATGCCTTTCCTGTCGTTCAGTGGAGAAAATGTTAATAAGCTGTGGGGAGACCTATCTTGTCAAAACCTGAGATCTTTGTTTGGCAGAACAGTTTGTTGCATCTTCCCTTTTCTTTTTTTTCTGAAATGATGCAATATTTGCATTGCATACTCTTTTCATAACTGCTGTATCAGGTAAAATTGCATGAAGTTTATAAGAAATGTTTCCACTGAGTGATGTTGGTAATCTTTTATGGTCAGAATATTTAAAACTTTCTTAAAGATTTTTCTTAGTGCAGTGTGATGGTTTGATATGTGTCTTTTTACATTAGAATCAAACACTGCAAGACCATTAAAGTTTGTCATTTGTTGCTATTTATTTTGCTGTCATGTCTGAAAGAATTTTGCCTGCCGTCTTACCTCTCTCAACTTCGCAGTGAATCACTAGGCTTTCTTAATGCAACAAGAATTATTCTTAATAGAACAAGAATTATTTTTTACATAGAAATTCTTTTAAAGGTTTTATAATTGAATGGGAATATGTAGAGTTCTATTAAAAGATGGATTTAATACAGTCTATAGATTTAATACAATGCTCAGAGAAGTACATGTGAATCTCTATGAGTTGTGCGTTGGATCATGCTGTATATAAGACTATTGCTGTGTTAGTGGGGAGGTTGCACTGGGCACACTGGAAATTTCTAATTACTTTCTTCAAGCCATTTTTGTCATGATGGGATCTCCATACATCTTGAGAGTGTACTGGTCAGTCAGGGGCTGGACTGTGTGCCCAGTTCTTCTGCCTGATATTGTTCATTTGTTCATGCCCTGTCACCTTTCTGAATCTTCATCTAAACTTCTTTTTGCAAAGGCTGTTTAAAATATTAAGAACAGGAACTCTAGGGTTTAGGGTTTTTTTACTTCTGGGATGTTTGTGTGGTACCCAGATGGAGTGGAACTGCCTACATGGCTGGCGTGATTTAACCCCAGTAGGCAGCTAACACAGAGCCACCCGCTCATTCCCCTCCCTGTGGAATTGGGGCGAGAATCAGAAGAGTAAAACTGATAAAACGTATAGACTGAGATAAAGACACTTAAGTAGGTAAAGCAAAAGCTGCACAGGCAGGCAAAGCAAACCAAGGAATTCATTCGGTCAGTACTTTGGCAGGCAGGTGGGCAGCCCTTCCCAGGAAAGCAGGGCTCCATCACATGTAACGGTGACTCAGGAAGACAAACACCATCACTCCAAATGTGCCCCCTCCTTCCTTTTTCCCCTAAACTTTTTGTTGGTGAGCATGACACCCTATGGTCTGGAATATCCCTTTGGTCAGTTGGGGTCAGCTGTCCTGGTTGTGTCCCCTCCTAACTCCTTGCACATCCCTGGACTCCTCTCTAGTGGGGCAGCGTGAGAAGCAGAAAAGGCCTTGACTGTGCAAACACTGCTCAGGAACAGCCTGAAAGGTCCCTGTGTTAGCAAATCTAAAACATAGCCCCAGACCAGTTGCAATGAAGAAAATTAACTCTATCCCAGCCCAAACCAGTGCACTGTCTCTACACTGCAGGCGAATAGTCCACTAGTAAGAATGCTTTGTACTTTATAAGCTGGGCATGCATAATGATTACAGGCAATTAATCAGGAAGTTCCACCATGATGCTTTCAGTACAGCCTGTAAATTATAACAACAGATGTAACTGTCTTCAGGAAATCAGGTATGTGATGACTCAAATATTATACTTCTTATTGCTACCATGGAAGGTCTTGAGCCACGACTCAAAATTCATGAGATTTTAAAAAATAAAATCCAAACCAAAACCAAACTGTGCCTTTGATTTGCCTCTGTTTGGTTTGGTTTTTTTCCATGCTTTTCTTTACAATCAGGAATATGTAACTATCAGTAATTTACATTTTTAACAAATTTGAGAAATTCTTTAAAAAAAGCACAAGCTTGACTGAGGGAGTTGAAATTTTCAGGAAAGTGCCACAGATTGCAAGATTCTCAGGAAAACTACAGATTGACAAAATCGTTATGTCTGAGCCAAATTTTTGCATGTGATGAGAATAAACTATGCAGATATGTTCTATGCCTCTAGCATTCTCTCTGTCAGCCACTCTAGCTTATCTAATCGTAGCAATTGCAGATTCATTGCATCAGCTATTACAGAGATTTACAGAGCTTGTGATTTAGATACTGTGCATCGTGTACTTTAATGGGACCAGCTTATTTCCTTAGAAATAGTGCAATATACTGAAAGAGGCCAAAGAAGACTTTGTAAATGACATTGCCCACTGCAGATGCAGTATATTCATAAACTGTCTTAATCTGATAAGTAGGAAGTGTTGTTTATTGAGTATTTTGCTATCTTCCTTTAGATTTTTGAGAGGGAGTTTTGACACTTTGTGTTGTAGGGCAGTAGTGTGTTTGTCTTTTTTTTTTTTCCATTTATGTACAACTATAGCTTTCAAAGCCTCTGAGCTGAACAAATTAGTTCTGGTGAAATAGCTCACCTTGACTTTCAGGCCAAGCCAAGACTGCATGGTGCCTGGGGCTACTGGTGCAGGTTGGGAAGCCTCAGTGAGTGTAAAGTGAACTGCAGAAGTATATCTACTTCATGGAACGAGTTGACCTGAACATATTTGATCTGTGATTTTTGACCCCATTTGGATCCCTGAATGCTTCTAACTGCCATGCCAGGCAGCATTTTTAATTTTTCCTTCGACATTATGTTTAAGGCCTACTTCCACCAAGGATTCTCTTTACAAACCATCAGTGCGAGTGAGAAATCTACTGTACTCCAACTTATCAAGGTCATTGCAGGAGAAGTTTCCCCACAGTCAGTTGGTCACACGTTTTCACATCCTAAACACACTCATCACTAGAGAATGTGTCTGTTAATAAGCAATCTACATTCAGTGTCTTTTTTTTCAAAGCAAAAAAGTATATAACTTCCATTTGGTACCAAGAAAGCGTCAACTATTTTTCTTAAATGTCTGTGGTAGTTTCCAATGAGGAATCTTGCAAACCACAGGACCCTGAATAGCAAAGACATCTTAAATCTCTTGTGAACAACATTAAGTACACACTTTATTTTTTACTTGTGCATTGTATGCTGGAGGACTTTTTCATTTAATCTTTTCATTGTAGCTTTCTATTAATGTATACTTCTTAAGAAAAAGAATATGAAATAGAAGAAATGGTTTATGTAAAGGTAGTTCTATAAAGCAAGAGAGAGAAAGAAGGAAAAGAAGGTACCTTTTGAGAAGAGTGCATTCACCTCTGTCACATCGTTCCTTGCACATCTCTGAACATCTGACAGCTTCTGTTAATCTAGTTTCACTCCACAGTTCAACTTCCCATATGGAAAGCTGGAGTGATTTTTGAATAACAGCAAGTAATATCTGGAGTGGCAGCAACTGGCAACTCTGACATTGAGCTTGGCTGTGGCCATTACCCAGAATCCTTCCGCTCTTCTTGAGAAGCAATTACAATTTCACAGGTTGGAATTAAAATTCCCTGTGGTATGCAGTAGAGTAACTGAAACTGTCAAAGTGATTTCAAGCTGCTAATCTCTTGCTGCTCGAAGAGTGAAAATAGAGCCCCTCTTACCCAGGCACGGATCTGACAACTTAAAAACTCCAGCCTTCCACTACGTTTAAATACATATGGAGGGTGGCTTGATCTGCTCACAGAGGATATCTGTAAAGATGTTATGTCTATGAACATTTGTGTGTTATTAACAAGTCTATCTTTTTTAACTTTTAAGACGTGTGTAACTTCAGGGACTAAGATGAATATAAAAGAAGTCTTATTCAAAAGCTCTGAGAATTTGGAGGAATGAGTAGGCATGTGCCTGTTTCTGTGAGGCTTATTAAAATCTTTATTTATGGCTCTTTGAACATGTATTTTTTGCTAGAAAAATTGCTTGCAACTTTCCCAAATTTTTTTTTTCACGTATTTGTATCCCACATTATGTTTTCTATGTACTGTGTTTGATTGTATAGATAGAAACAAAGAGCATTTAGAAATCAAAGACAGAGTTAAAAATTGAGGGGCTGTAAAGCTAGGGTGCAAATTGAAAAATATTAGTGCAAAAGCTGCAGAGCCAGTTTGAACTAGGAGACACAGCCCACAGAGTTGGGGACTGGCTGCAAAACACCCTTTGACTTGTTCAGAGGCAGGGTTCATCCACTAGATCATTAAAATTAGAATGATTGCTGGAAAGTGTTTTTGCAAATATCATTAAATGTCTTTTAGTTCCATGTGTTCTTTTAACATTCAAGTGAATGTTTTTTATCTTTAAATGAAGGTGCTTCAGTAGCTGGTAGAGGGGAGATGAATTATGAATCGTCCTATTTTAATTTTAAAGAAGCCCGATACAAAAAAGAAAAAAAAATCATGTCACTGTATGTGCTGGTATCTCAAAGTCTGTTAATTCCCACTTGGGAAACTGCGGTTGTGGACTTGGATCATTAATGCTGTCCATTCAGGTCCCGTGAATGGAGAAAGAGTAATATTGGAGTATCTTTTCAACAACCTTTATTTTGTTGGAAAATGCTTAGCAATTATAGAGTGGTGTTAACATGATGTTTTATAGAGGACAATCTGCCTCGCATGGTTTGCTGAATGCTGGTTGTAGGTAATGGAGTGAATTTCCATGTTGGTGACCAGTGTGTGATGCAGATTTGTGCCTACAACTTGCATGCTTTAAATGTCCCATCTGTCTTTGAGTGTGAAAACAGGCTAGTTGTGCTCAACTGAGCATAAAATATTGTGTTTGCTCCCTTCCTGAGTAGTGTTTGTGGGGAGGGTTTACAAATGTTAGCTGGCAATGGGTTACAGATTATAGGAGAAGCTTGGAGATGATAAAACACACCAAAAAAGGGCCATGATTGTTTGGCATATAGTAGGAGTTGGGGATCTGAGAGAAATTAATGTGATGAAATTATGACATGATGGGAAATTTAACTTTGCATAGTTAGGATCTCATTATAGTGTAATCTGAAGAATAAAACTTTTATGGTGCTTGGAAGGCTTTGCTGCACAGACACCCTTCCCAACTGCTCATAACTCTTGGGCTTACTGTGGTGTGATAGAGCAGCCTGTTTCACCACTCTAATGTCACAGCCAGAGAAAAGCAGTCCAGCTCACCTGGCCTAGAGTTGTGAACTTGGAACATACAGTTTTGTGGAGGAGGGCATTCCAACTCTAATACCTCTCACCCTGCTTTGTTGGAGTATTACATGTCTGTCTCATTGCTCTGTAGGGAAAATGAGTAAACTGTGACCAGCAAAGAAACTTGCTCTGTCCAATGGCATTCAGTAAATTAGTCATGCTATTTAGTGGTTGCAAGCTTTGACTACTTGTTTGGTTTTTAAGTACCTGCATTCCATTGTGAGCCTGTGTTTGCTCTTATCCTTTCTTCCACTACTTTCTCCAAGCAACTCATTTTGTTTTATGGAAGATGACATGTCTTCAAAAGGGCAAGTATTAGTCTGAGCAAGGTGGCTTATTCCCTGAAAACAAGAATGCTACTTCTCTGGTGGAGCTGATTTGCCAGAGGTATCAGTGCTTGAAAACTGTTGTGTTGCAGTGTCTGTCCTTTAACTGTGTGCTGTCTGGTTGCCACAGCCTTTTGTGTATGTCAGAAACTCCCATTTGCTAGTAGGCAGCATTAAAAGGCCTATTTCTGTTGTGCTATATTAATCTTGCAAACACCAGAAATGTAGTGATTCGGGGCAAGAAATACATCATTGATGTCAGTTAAAAGTATAAAATTTGATATCCACTAGTGGCTTTATGAGCCATAAAAGTCAATAACTAGCAATTGCTAACTACAAGATCTCTATACAAGAGATTATAGAGGGCTGCACGTGCGTGGTCTGCAGAGTATTAGTATGAGACTGCAGAGGGAAACAAGTGAGCAAGTTACTGAGCCAACTGTACAGATAACCAATAACAGAGAGAAGGATGTTCCCACTCGAGGGACAGCTTAATCTCCAAGTATTACGATAATATTAAGGAAATTAAAAAAGACAGATAGCAGCTTGGTCATGCTGCAGCAGCATTAATTTGCTTCTGTCCTGCTTGGATTGTTTAGCAGGCAAAAAGGGCAATCTGAATGTCAGTCTCCAGCAGAAGGATAAAACAGAGCCTAACAGCAGTTAGCAGCCTTGAATATGTGAGAAATAAATTGTTTGTACAAATTTGAACCTCCTGTGCTTCCATATCTTCTCCCCATGCTGCTCTAAAGAGACATCTCCTTATTTTGATTTGAATTTCTTTGGCATTTTTTTTCTGCAAACACCTTTTTTATTATACCTTTTTATTTTATCTGACTCTGAAACAGTACTGAAAAATTCATTCACTTATACTTTTGTTTTTAAGATCAAGCTTGTTGGCATTTTGTTACATGCCCTGTGAGCCTGCATCAACCAGTATCTTAATTGTAGGAGGGGTGGGATTAATTTTTATATTGATTTGAACATAAAATGGAAGTTTTCAGTTGATTTTTGGAGTAGTGGTTGGGGGATCAAGAAAATCAAGCTTGGCTGGCAATCAGTTTAGTATATTTACTGTCTTTATCTAGAGATTTGCCAGTATTGTATACTAAAAATTGTTGAAGCTAAGTAATCTAAATCCACTGACAAATTTCCAGTTTCTACCAATTTATAGTGTCATTAAAATCAGACACACAGATAATTTGATAGCCCTGCCCCAGCATAAATCTGCTGTAAGAATTATTGCTGTAGATCAATGGTATTATACATTGCTCTCACCACGTCCTCCATGACATCTGCTGGGCAAGAAGAAAAACAGACAATAGGCAGCAGATAAGAGGCAGTTCCTAAACTTTGTAAAGAAGTGGCTGTCTTGAGCCTCAGTACAAATGTTCATATTCAAATGTTGTAGTTTTTTCATTCTGAAAGTCTGTTTTAGGATGGCTATCAGCTGTACTCCAGCATAATAAGTTTTCCTGCCAGTAGAGAAGGATGGAGGACCTCTTCTCTCCTGCTGCCCCATAGCAGCAATGGTCCACCACTGTAGAGGTGGATGAGCCTTATATATGTTTTATGTCAAACAGTGGCAGAGCTTCCAGGGCCAGCCCTTGGCCACCTTTGTTTCTTTCCATAGTCTTTGAAAGACATTTACTTACCACGTATCCTGCAGAAGCCTTGTATTCTCTGATGTCCTTTAATGAGCTCATAAGCTCTTGTGAGTATATTCTAAAGAAATCTAGGATTACAGTTCCAGCTTTCTGAGTCACAGCAGGGAGAATAAGCTATTTCAGCCTTTCACATCGAAGTTGTTGTCATAAGAGGGTTCAGTAGTATATTTCCTGTTCTTGGTTCAAACACTGCTGCGAAAGTTGAGTCATCAGCATATAAATACTTTCTTGGCCTCAAAATATCTGATCTGTGTGTGTGTGTGTGTTGATTAACTGCCCATTTCATTTCTCTTTCCACACTTATTGACTCATCTAAGAATAAAGAAATTGGGTTGCTGCCAATCATACTACATATTGGTTCAAATGTAGGAATGCTAAGGCAACTCATAAGTATTATCTTATCTGCCAGGAAATCCATGGAACTGAATTCCTAGTCATTCCCACTCACAGCAGTAGCTTGAGCAAAAGACCTGGAATAATGGCAGGAATAAAGTCTAGTCCTGTGGACAGTCTTGCACTGTGCTCTCAAATGGTGTGCTTGTGAGCAAAGAAATTAAATGAAAGTCTGCTTCATGGAGGGAACAGGTTTTATTCTGTTTTCTTGAAATGTTTATCAATCTGGTCCAGACTCACTTGACAGGTAGAATTGACAAGGTCTCCTAGCTTAAAAAGAAATGACAGTGCAGTAACTAGTCTGATTTTCCAATTGTCAGAGTTCAGTTATCTGAACATGCTATTCATGTTTCAGGCATAAAAGCAAGCTGGTGTGATGGCCAAAGAAAGTGTAAAACTTTTCTCATCTTTTCTTAGGCACTTCATAGTTGGTTGGAAAGCAACAGTTTTGGCTGTATGAAAGAGCAATGCTATAGATGGCTCTTTCTGTACCTTGTAACTGTTGATATGGGACAAGCTTTAAATAAAACAAAGGAAGAATTTTAAATAACTATATTCTGTTGTGCAATGTGGATTTTAAAACTACATTTTAAGTGTTATATTCATTAAAAGGCCACTTACGGTATTTTGATTTTTTTTTTAATGTTATGTTTCCCCTCAATTCTTGGCAGATTAAACATTTTCATTTCAAAATAGAATAGCTGCAACTCATACGGTACTGTTACGGAAACAAATTTTGAGTCACAATAGTTTCTATGGGCTGAAACTAATTTCCCGGACACTAGAATCAATATGGCAACCTCAGGAAGTAAGTGGAGTGGCCCAACGAGATTTAAACTGAGGATGCTGCCTTTCTGTCCTGCCTCCTTCTATTGACAGCTCTTGCTTGCACCAGCAGTAATGTCATGACACTGCCTGAAGAGAAGTTCGAGTGGCTCATCCAGCTGAAACCGTGTTTTGGTGGAGTTCATTTTGAGATGGCTCATGTTGCTGTGAGCATCTTTGCAAGGAAAGGGCTGATTTACATTGGCTCGAACTGCCAGAGAGAATTTTCTGTGTCTTTGTGTGTCTGAACTGCCTCTTGCTGGTACAGCTTTGAAAAGGTCCTTACTCTACCACTTTATTTGAATTAGAGTTGCAGTAGCATGCTGCGGACACACAAATATGTGACTGAAAGCAGAGTAGTATTGCACAAGCACTGTGGAGCAGAGCCATAAACTTGTTGTTTGAAGACCTCCACACAGCTTTAGAGGTAAGGTATGCTCGGGAACTGCAGAGCTAAGGTCATGGCCCACAGTGCAGACAGGATGTTGCTAAACTACAGGATTTACTTCAGTGATCTTTTATGATCAGCTCAGGATTAGTGGATCATAAAGAACATACAGAGTTTCTGTCAACCTGTCCTCTCCCTTAGGCTAGTAACTCCTTTTTGATATCTAGAGATACATACATAATATGACTTTTTTTTCTCTTTCTCTTTTTTTTAATTGAAAGAACAACATGCTGGTTGCCTCCAGGAAGTGCTGTTCATGTGGGTAGAACAGACTTCATCTTTCAGGACTCCCAATCTGTCTCTTTTGTTAGCTGTAGAAATCAGTTTAAAAAACAACTGGCAAGTGAGTGGGTGGTTTGAATTGTTTATGGTTTTGGGGATTCTTTTCTCTTGTTGCTTACTTTCCCGATGCACATGCTGCTAAATTTCTATTTGTTAAGGAAGTTCAAAGGAGGAAGAAGTAAGTTCTGCGTCATTTCAGTTTGCCTTTGTGCTTAGATCTGGTCAGAGCCAGCCAACTCTGGGCAGTCAGCAACGTGAGCAAACATAAAGCAGATATCTAGAAAAGGACTTGGAGCTTTAAACTCACATTAAGGCTTTGTTATAAACTTCTGCTTTGAAGACTTGCAGTATGACACATGAAAAAATGTTAACTTCCATTAAAGGCTCTCATGAGATTTGTTACCAAATGTTAGCAAAAATTCAGCAGAACATTTCAAGGGGTACAATTCAAAAGTTTCTATCATGCTTTTGATGAAAACATCTTTAAACAGCCCAATTAGTGTAAAGGAGGAAACTCTGTACATGCAAGTTTGTTTTCTGAGAGCATTTATGAAAACAATGACTGTCAGTGAGAGGTTAATGGAAATATGTGAGAAGAGAAATGGTCCTTGCTTGATGTTCTGTCCAGTGCTTCCATAATATGTGGCAAGTAAGTGGCTAGACATTTATATTGTGAAACAGCAGGGGAAAAAAAGAGCACTTTATGATCAGTATTCTTAATGGAGTATTATGGGCATCCTGCTATTTCTAAAACTACATTTTTTTGCAAGTCTTTACCCTGAATTGCAGTCACTTAAGTGTATATACACTGTTTGTATATGTATTCTGATCTATTTTTTTCTTTCTCCTGTTCATTCTTTAGCCAGTGGTTTGAGAAGGCTTGCTTGAGTTTAGAAAGAGGAAAATGAGGTTTAAGAAGCAGTACTGTGTCTTGTTCTAAAGGCTCTGAAATTCAGTCATTTCAGTTTCTTGTAACAAATGTCCTGGCTGGGGCCTGTGAGGGAGAGAGCTGTCTCCCCTGCCCGGGCCTGCTTGCAAGACAAATGGCTCCATTGTTTCTGGGGTGTGCAAATATCACCAGTCCTGGGAGGTCAGGACTGCACACACTGAGTAGTTACTTAAAGAACTTGGATGAAATACACATAGAAGATTTTAAAGATAAGGAGTCAGTAATGGTAAGGCTTGTGTACTCTTTAACCGTGTTTTGGTGGTACAGTAAAAACACAAAGCACTGAGCTTGTGTAAACTTACTCATTCTGCTAGATGAAAATATGTCAAGCAGCTGACTTTCTACCAGTAGGCTTTGTGCCACATAAAGTATCATTTTTCCCTCCACAGCCAGCCTAAAAACCTAAGGCTGCCATTGGCTTTCTGTCGTTTGCAGAAATGCAGTTATGTACTTATGCCTTACGTGATCCACGTGTGTTGTAGGTGACCTGGTGGGTGTGGAAACAGCAAGCTGGGAGACTGCAGATGTCTGAGCCTGGGGTGGGACTGGGTGAAGCTGGGCTGTGAAGGCTTTCCAGAGGACTGTACAACTTTTGAGGAGAGTGGGCCTAGGGTAAGGCTGAAGGTAAGCTGTGGAGTAACATGTAGATTTTTAATTTTAGTGCTATAAAGAAGACGATTTTTATTTCCGTTCTAAAAACAGGAGTTGCCACAGACATTAGGGCTTATATAGCAGCCAGCAGGCTGATCAGATACTACAAAAAGGCACAGCAGTGCTGGTGAGCTGGTGATCTTTGCTTTGGCTGTTGTTGGTATTGTTCTGCATTAGGCTGAAACAGTTCTTCACAGAAGATCAGTGATCACAGAGTTTTGGCAGACTTCTTACTTACTTATGTTCCGAATAAAAAATCTTCCTGACGTATTTAATATCACTGCCTGTTGCTCTGACCATGTACAGGAAATAAAAAGCTTTGTGCTGTTCTTGAATTACACAGATGGTTTCCACTATGTAGTGTCCTTCATAATTAGCTGTCATAGAATTGGAACAGAACCATGCTAAAAAGTTTGGCATCTTAAGATGCCATATGATCTTGTAAGATTTTGGGAGGATACTCCTCACCTCACCCTGCCTTAGGAGGGGAAACTTCTCTCTGTTGTCCTGTGTCTTCTCTAGTGTGAATTTCCCCTTCAGTTGTGTCTACTAGAAATGGCATTTTACCAATATTTGGGACCATTATTGACTTTTATATTGCAGACAATGAAAAATCGCTCACAAACAGACTTCATTGTTGTGATATTTGTTTGGTGTCTACTTAAAATGCAGTTGGATGAGTTTTAGTGACTTGTCAATGTCTGCACTTAGCATGAGGCTCCATAGACAGCAGTTGCAGCTGGAGATAGCTGTCAGAATGAGACAATCTTGATGGCAGAACTGAGTGGGCTCATTTAATTCCAATGGAGCAAAGTGATTTAAGGACCTGCTTCCCTCTTATTTGGAATTGGATTTATATGAGTCAAGGATTCCTACACTGACTACATTCCTGGGGTACAGAGGCAGCACCAGAACTGTATGCAAAGTTAGTTTTTTGAAAACTCAAATTTTTGGATACATCTGCTGATCTCATATTGTTTTGTCCACTAGACAGGGCATATTTTCATTTTTCTCTGCAAATATCCATTAGAGTATAAAATTCTTTCTAATGCATGTTTTAAATGAAAGATTAAATCCTCCTCTTCCTATTATTTTATCACTCTTTTTGTTTTAATTTATAAAGTCACTACAGACAGATTTTTTTTTCTGAGGTGTGTTTTCTGGCCTTTTTTTAAGGGCTTGGAGGAAGGGGAAAAATAGTTAATGTAAGAGAATGATTTTCATTCCACTAATGTTGATTCACTTGGCTTGTAAGAAGAGCTTATTGCTTTGTTTACTTGGAAAGAATGAATATCAACACATAAATAATCAGCTGAGGACTAGATTTGCAGGAGGAAGAATTTTCCTAGTCACTTTTCTGTTAATTCAAAGCAATATCTTTTAAAATTGATGTAACTCACAGCCTTATGATGATCACATTACTTTCCCTTAGGAGTAAACAGACAAAAGTGTCTGCTTAGTTTCCAGACTGGAGAGCAGTTGTTGCCTCAGGTACTTAAATTTCGATAGAAAAAAAGCTTTCCGTAGCTCTTGTAGCTGTACATACTGAATGTATCAGTGCACCTGGGGACTTCCATGCCAACTTTTGCAAAGTACCAGGAACTCCTCTTCAGAAATACATGAAAAAACAATTTACTGAACAAGCCTCCCAAAAGTGCTTTTCTTCAGACAGTCTTTCACCTAGCTAAAGTACTCAGGCCTGACATGCTGTAGCTGGAAGGAACTAACTATCATATAATTTCTGAACTCTTTTTCCCCTTCTTTTAACTCTTGGAAAGATATGTAACCTAACAGGACAACAGGGTTGACCCTTTTTTCAGGCCCTGTTGCAGCGCAACACTGAAACCTCCTTCTGGAAAATCCTCTTGGGTCAATATATCACAGTCCCGCTTTTCAGAGTTTGCAAAACCTAATGTATTTAGCTTGTTAACAGCATCCCACAGAATCTGAGGTCCCAGGGACAATTCCTGTCCTTCACAGCTCAGGGCTTTCGTAATAATCAACAGCAGTAAGAGACTTGTCCAGGAGGAAGGGCCAGG